GTGAAGCATTTATCGCCACCGTCATTTGTTCTGTAGCCCAGTACATTCGTTATTGGTTGATTAAATACAGGCTGTAGGCGGGCCAGTGGGCTCAGTGGTTGGCGTGGGTGGACCTATATGAACCAAAAGGCCACGGTTCGGTTCCCGGTCAAGGGCACATGCCTGGGTTGTGGGCTCCATCCCCAGTAGGGGGTGTGCAGGAGGCAGCCAATCCATGATTCTCTCTCATCATGGATGTTTCTCTCTCCTTCCCTCTCCCTCTTGCTCTCCCTCTCCCTTCCTCTGTAAAAATGAATTTTAGCCCTAGCCAGGCTCAGTGGATAGACCATTGGCCTGTGGACTGAAGGGTCCCGGGTTCGATTCTGGCCAAGGGCACATGCCCCAGTTGTGGGCCCAATCCCCAGTAGAGGGGACGTGCAGGAGGCAGCCAATCAATGGTTCTCTCTCATCACTGATGTTTCTATGTCTCTCTTCCTCTCCCGTCCTCTCTGAAATCAATAAAAATATAAAAAAATATAAAAAAAATAAAAATCAATTTTAAAAAACATTTAAAAATTCCACTTTTCAGTGGTCCATTAGATAGCTTCCCAGCACTTGAACTTGGGGACCATGTCATGAGATCAGAATTCGCCTGTGTGCTCAGTCTCCACAGTCTAATTCTGCCTTTCAGCGAGGGCGTATCTGCGGTCACTGCTCGCAGGGCAGGTTGCTGTTAGCTCCTGATACCCTGGGACCGCTCCTGGGCCGGAGCCCGGGCCATTGTCCAGGTGGGAAACCTGTAATCCACCCGCCAACAGCTTTGTTAAAGCCAAAAAGGAAAAAAAAAAAAGGTGACTGTAATTTGATTTGTCTTTTTTTTTTTTTTTTAATCTCCCCACCTTTGTACCTCCTTTCAAAAAGAATGTGAGATTGCTCACGGCGTAAGGTCCTTGCACAATGAGACAGTTAACGATTTTAAAAGAGGAAACCGCACATCCGGAAGCCACAGGCACAGAAGCAGGCGCCTGCAGCTAAGCGCCCCGGCTGTGCCGCTCCCCGTGTGCGTCAGTCACAGTCAGGCCAGGTAACGGCCTGAATCACGCTCCTGACATCTGCCCGAGCCTGTTCCTTCGGCTTCCGCAAGGCCTGGAGTCATCATTCTGAGGCTTGGTCTTTTCTGTCTTTTTTTAATATATATTTTTATTGATTTCAGAAAGGAAGGGAGAGAGAATCACGGATCGGCTGCCTCCTGCACGTCCCACACTGGGGATCCAGCCCGCAACCCGGGCATGTGGCCTGCCCGGGAATCGAACCGTGACCTCCTGGTTCCTAGGTCGATGCTCAACCACTGAGCCACGCCGGCCGGGCTATTGTATACGTGTAATTCCTGGGATCTGTCAGTTCTCAGGGTAAAACTCTATTCTCCCTCCTTCCCTTGACTCCAAATTCTGAGATGATTTGATCACCTGAGTCCCTTCAAACTTAGCACTGTGACCCTCAGACGTGTCGTCGTGATTTGGTGGAACTCACAGACAGTCTCCCCTTCTTACCTATCGTGAATAGCAAAACTAAAAGTGTAGAAAATTGTGAGAGAAAGTACTCAATCTTACTCCATTTGTCTTTGAGTTTTTGTCCATTGAGTAGAGTGAAGCCTGTTTTTACTGCACAAGTAAAAGTTCCTGTTGTCTCACCTTTTCAGTGTTTTTTGGATGCTCTTTTAGCTTAAAGCTTTCCCCCAAATGTAAATTATTTTTCTAGCCCTAAAAGCACCTCTCTGTGGTTGCAGAAAATTTAGCAGATGTAGAGAACGCAAAGGAGAAAGTGAAATAAATCCTTTCTGATTCTTCATCCAAAAACAGCCAGAGTAGGGCTGGCCGGTGTGGCTCAGCAGTTAGAGCATCGGACCCCAGACCAGAGGGTCATGGGTTCGATTCCAGGTCAAGGGCACATACCTGAGTTGCAGGTTCAATCCCCAGCCCTGCTCAGGGTACGGGTGGGAGGCAACCAATCAGTGTGTCTCTCTCGTCGATATTTCTCTCCCCCCCCCCCCCCTCTCTCTCTCTCTCTCTCTGTCTTTTTCACTACCCACTCTCTTCCGCTCACTCTAAAAAAGTCAATGGAAAAATATTTTCTGATGAGGATTAACAAAAAAAACCAGTAAGCACTTGAAGGTAGAATTATACATTGTTAATAATAGTAATAATCCACACCATGAGTCTATATACCACTGTCTGCTTTGTAAACTTTTAAAAAACATTTTTGTGGGTTTCGTTGTTGTTAATTCTCACACGAGGATATTTTTCCGTTGATTCTTAGAGTGAGTGGAAGCGAAGGGGAGAGAGACAGAGAGAGAGAAACATCGACGTGAGAGAGACATATCAATTGCTTGCCTCCCGCATGAGCCCCAACCAGGGCCGGGGATGGAGCCTGCCCACCCAGGTACGTGCCCTTCCTTGAGCGGACTCGAACCCGGGACCTTTCAGGCCGCAGGCCGGCGCTCCATCCACGGAGCCAAACCGGCCAGGGCCACTTTGTAAACGCATCTCTACATGATGAACGTGGACCCAGGACCGCGGTCACGCCAGAGATGCAATTTCGCCCAGAAATGCATCTGACATCGTCGTTCTTAAAGCGACACGACGTAGAAACGGAAACCCGGGAGATGCCCACCCGGCAGCGGGTTCCACGGCGGGGCTGGCGTGGGCCGGCTGCACTGCCCCGCTGTGATTCCCTCGCTGGCAGGACGGCGCAGCAGCCGGCGGGCGGAAGGCCGCTTGGCACGCTCACATTTCAGGTGTCTTATCTGGGCTCGGGCAAGAGCCGGTTATCAGGCGGCGGAAAGCCGAGCTGGCGGGCAGGGCCTTCGCCAACGCGCTGTGGTTTCAGCCGAGTGGGAGCTCTGTGCCCGGTGGCCACTGTGGCGACGGCAGAGTGGACGTTTGCTGGGGAGCGTGAGGGAGCCGACCTGTTCCCGTCACAGCAGCTTTTCCTTCATTTCTTTCACATCATTAACCCACGTCCGCCCTCTCCCCCCAGGACGGTAGATCACCGGGCGTGTTGAGAGCCCTCTGACGCGGTGGAGCTGTTTAAACAACAGGCGCCCCAAGTGAAAAGATCGTCATTTCTTGAGATTGGAGGGTTTACGAAAACTTCAGATCGCCCTGGCCGGGGTGGCTCAGTGGTTGAGCATCATCCCATGCACCAAAAGGTCGCCGGTGGGATTCCTGGTTAGGGCACAGGCCCGGGTTTCAGGCTTGATCCCCAGGAGGCAGCAATCCATGATTCTCACATCAGTGCTTCTCTCTCTCTCTCTCGCTCTCTCTCATTTCCTCTCTCTACAAAATCAATTTAGCCCGGCCGGCGTGGCTCAGTGTTTCAGCATCGACCTATGAACCAGAAGGTCATACTGTGCCCAGTCAAGGGCACATGCCCGGGTTGCAGGCTCAGTCCCCAGTAGGGGACGTGCAGGAGGCAGCCGATCTGTGATTCTCTCTCTTGTCATGGATGTTTCTATCTCTCTCTCCCTCTCCTTTCCTCTCTGAAATCAATAAAAAATATATTTTTAAAAAATAACATTTTAAAAACACGTCATATTAAGAGATTTGCCTCCAACCACCAGTCATTTAAGATGAGAAAAGGGCCACGCGTTTTCCCCTGGGTTCCCTAAAAAGGAAAAGAGAATGGGGTGGAGTTAACCATACAACTGCACAGAGGCTTTGACGGTGGTTTGAGGTTAGATTGTCTGCCTTTGAAATTAATTGGTTTCTCTTCTTGGACAGTGACCTCATTTCAAGTCATGGTTTAGGCATTCAGCGTGTTGGTGACGGTCGTTCTGGTCTGGCTGGTGGGCCAGATTTTGACCCTCAGTCTCTCTATGAAGGATCCTGGTGTCTTAAGGGAAAACACTTGTCAAGTTTAAAGTCTTGTTCGACTTTGACCCTGACGTTGTCTGAGATGGATAGTACAACGGAATTCTAACCACCCGGCCGGCGTGGCTCAGTGGTTGAGCGTCCACCTATGAACCACGAGGTCACTGTTCGATATCTGGTCAGGGCACATGCCCGGGCTGCAGGCTCGATCCCCAGTGTGGGGCGTGCTGGAGGCAGCTAATCAATGATTCTCTCTCATTGATGTTTCTCTCTCCCTCTCCCTTCCTCTGTGAAATCAATAAAAATATATTATTAAAAAACCCCACAGAATTCTAACCCAGAATAAAAGGTGAAAGTCACCTTTACCCCCTCAGACTTCCCATTAGGAATTCATGCTGTTTTGATCCTTCAAGTCACTGTCACCATAATAAACCCAAATCTAGCAGTTACGGAGAGAAATATACTGGGTGGGACATTTGGGGGGAACCGTGTTTTTTAATCTTACTGTGGCTATATTCACTGATTGAAATATCCTGTATGAGATGTTTTTCCTAGAAGTTGACTATTTCATCTCTTCTTTAAAATATGTTTTTTATTATTTTCCGAGAGGAAGGGAGAGGGAGAGAGAGAGAGAGAAACATCCATGATGAGAGCGAATCATGGATCGGCCGCCTCCTGCACGCCCCACACTGGGGATGGAGCCGACAACCCCGGGCATGTGCCCTGACCAGGAATCGAACCGTGACCTCCCGGTTCATAGGTTGACGCTCAACCACTGAGCCACGCCGGCCGGCCTGGTTGCGTTTTTATTTTGTGGAGTGGAGGAATTTGTAGCCAGAGAGCCGAGAGTATCAGCAAATTCGCCTGAACGTTCCTCCCTCAGTGGCCTGGTCATCGGGTTTCCCACCGTCGCCAAAACCCCGCCGTCCTGGACCCGCTTCAACACTCCCTCGCCCTTTTTTGTTGTTGTTGGGATTCTTCTGAGAATGAATGGGGACTCGGCCGTCCCCCGGCGGCGGCGCGAGGGCTTCCGCTGATCGAGTGGCTTCTTATCAGATCCCCTTTGAAACGCAGCAGCAGCAGCAGATACACGGGGAAACGAGGCGCCCGGCCCGCGCCACCCTCTCACGCCCCCTCCGTTTCCCGTTCCAGGACGTGGTCCAAGACGATCCCCGGGCGGGTGGAGTTCTTCTCGAGCGAGGGCTCCGACACGTCCATCCCCATCCCCATCGTGCCGCTGCGGGGCGTGGACGACTCCTACCCGCCCCAGAAGAAGTCCTTCATGATGCTCAAGTACATGCACGACCACTACCTGGACCAGTACGAGTGGTTCATGCGGGCGGACGACGACGTGTACATCAAGGGGGACCGGCTGGAGAGCTTCCTGCGCAGCCTCAACAGCAGCGAGCCCCTGTTCCTGGGCCAGACGGGCCTGGGCACCACGGAGGAGATGGGCAAGCTGGCCCTGGAGCCTGGGGAGAACTTCTGCATGGGGGGGCCCGGCGTGATCATGAGCCGCGAGGTGCTGCGCCGGATGGTCCCCCACATCGGGAAGTGCCTGCGGGAGATGTACACGACCCACGAGGACGTGGAGGTGGGCCGCTGCGTGCGGAGGTTCGCGGGGGTGCAGTGCGTCTGGTCGTACGAGGTAAGAACGCAGACACAAACCCGTCTGGTTTTTTTGTTTTTAGATTTTTTTATTGACTTGGGAGAGGGAGAGGAAGAGGGAGGGAGAGAGAAACATCGATGATGAGAGAGAATCACGGATCGGCCGCCTCCTGCACGCCCCACACTGGGGATGGAGCCCGCAACCCGGGCGTGTGCCGTTTACCGGGATTCGAACCTGGTTCACAGGTCGATGCGCAACCACTGAGCCACACCTGACGGGCTGCATACCTTCTGTGCTTTTGACCCGATGCCTCAGATAGTAAGTAGATGACATCTGGGGCCCAAAGGAGCGATGGTTTACGCAGCTCGTGCCGATCCTGTCGTGATGATCCAGAAAACGTGTCCGGTCACCTTCTGCTGGTCCCTCAGATGTGATTGCAACAGCGTGGGGGTGCTCCCCCGCTCCCTGTCCCTCCAGAGACCTGGCTTTTCTCCTCTGGTCATGTTGACCCACGCAGTTTACAAACGTCCCTGTTTTCAACCCATAAAATGAGTAATGGTGTTTTCAAAAGCCAATAGCATGGGGCTTTGTACGTCTTTTTCAACCTTGGCTGTTCAGATAGCTGTTTTGATCTGTAAGTCTGCAATATAGTTGTTCCTTTCAGGATCCGTGGTAGGCGGTTTCTGAGTCATCTTGAGACAAAGGTGCAAGATTTATTTTATTTTAATATATTTTTATTGATTTCGGAGGGGGAGGGAGAGGGAGAGACACATCCATGATGAGAGAGAATCACGGATCGGCTGCCTCCGGCCCGCCCCACACTGGGGATCGAGCCCACAACCCGGGCAGGTGCCCTGACCGGGAATCGCACCGTGACCTCCTGGCTCCTAGGTCGACGCTCAGCCCCTGAGCCACGCCGGCCGGGCCAGAGATGCAAGTGTTTGAAGGATGTCTCCACGGGGACGTTTCTAGAGAACATGAGTCCACTTTGACTTCGCTCTGTTTTCATTGGCAGATGCACGCCCCTTGCCTGCGATCACGGGATCCAGTGTTAGTCAGAGTGGAAAGAATTATGTAGGTTGGGTTGTGTTGAGATTGATAAACTCCCGATAGTCGTGAGCAGCAGGGGAAATCGCCGGACCTTTTGTCCAAGAAAAAGAAAACACTCTTTCTGATGTAAATTGTTACCTCTTTTCCCCGGAGTTAATTTTCCAAGGCGCTTGCGGGAGGAAGACGTATTAATGGCCGGACGTGTCTTCCCGCCGGACTTGCTTTTTCCAGTGTCCCCTCATTGCTCTATTTCTTCCTTCTGAACTTCTGGGGACGTGGACGAGATTGAGTACATGGGAAGTCGTCTTCGTGTAGTTTGTGATTACGAAAGATACATTTTCCATTCCAAACGGGAATTCGGCGAGCCCCCTGATCTCCGTGCGCACCCAACACAGGCGACACCTCACCAGATTTAGGGGGGGGTCCCTGTTCTCATGGATTTTTTATTTTTTTTGCTTTTGTTTTTTTTTTTTAATTTTTTTATTGCGTTCAGAGAGAAAGGGGGAAGGAGAAAGACATAGAAACATCCATGATGAGAGAGAATCATCCATCAGCTGCCTCCTGCACGCCCCCCCACCGGGGATCAAACCTGCAACCCGGGCATGTGCCCTTGACCGGGATTCGAACCGTGACCTCCTGGCTCCTAGGTCAGTGCTCGACCACTGACCCACACGGGCCGGGCTGTATCGTGGATTTTGGGCAGCAAGGAAAGCGGGTTGGGTATTTCATGCCGTTTTCGGCAGAATACAGCTGGCAGGCTCCCTCTCCCTTCCTCTCTCTGAAATAAATTTTAAAAAATATTTTTTAAAAAAGAGAGAGAGACAGAGTCACTCGAGATGTTTGTTACAGAGCGAATTTCCAGGCCCAAACCCAGAGCCAGGCTCTTGGCGGTGGAGCCGGAGGACCCCTCTGTTTACGGCTCCTCTGGTCGCTCGTGTCCTGAGCACCATCCGAACCCTTCAAGCTCTGACAGCATTTCCTGTGACACGGTGACGTCTTCCCTGGAGGCGGAGGTTATCTTTCGGTCACTCAGAGAGGGAGGGAGAGGGACAGAGAGAGAGAGAGAGAGAGATTGATTGATTGATTTAGAGAAACATCCATTATGAGAGAGAATCATGGACCAGATGCCTCCCGCACGCCCCGTACTGGGAATCGAGCCCGCAACCCCGGCCTGTGTCCTGACCTGGAATCGAACCGTGACCTCCTGGTTCCTAGGTTGAGGCTCAACCCACTGAGCCACACCGGCCGGGCATCAGAAATGTTTGGCAGGCTAATGCCTGACATGGTTTTTCCCTTTCTCCCCTCCGCTACGCCACCGTGTTAAGTGCAGCGAGTTGTGGAGCCAGCCAGAAGCCCGTGACCGCGAGCGCTGGTCAGCAGTAAATCCCCCGTAACGGCCAGGGAAGGGGCCGTCGTCGATGTGACCCCGCACACAGATCGCACGTGGCCCGAGGTGCAGGCGACAAGCACTTCTCGCCGGAGCAAAGCGGCATTTTCCGTCGCGTGTTGTCCCCGCGGTGGATTTCACAAATGTCTTGTTGATGCGCCCGGGTGATCCATGCTCCCCAGACCTCAGCTGCTTTTTTGTTTTTTTAAGCCTCGGCGATGGTTGGTCGCCATGAACCATAACTTGAGATTTGCTTATCAACAAATTTCATTTAAAAAAAAAAAAAATAGTGGCACCCTGGCTGGCGTGGTTCAGTGGTTAGAACGTCGGTCCCTGCACCAAAGGGTCTTGGGTTCGGTTCCCGGTCAAGGGCACATCCCTGGGTTTCAAGTTCAATCCCTGACCCAATCAGGGCATGTGCAGGAGGCAACCAATTGATGTGTCTCTCGCACACCGATGATTCTCTCTCTCTCCCTCCCTCCCAGTCTCTCTCTTAAAAAAAAAAAAAGAAAAAGAAAGGAAAAAATATAATCGGGTGAGGATTAACAACCAAAAGTAGTTACAAAGCTTTTATTAATGACTGTGGCGCCTCTGACATGCACACATTATTTTGGATAATCTTCCCTCTCGGGGGCGGGACTTAATTCCCCTCCGCTGGCCTGTGACTCATTTTTAATGAATGGCGGAGGGAATGGAAAAAAATATTAAGCCCTGGCTGGTTGGACTCGGCGGATGGAGCGTCGGCCTGCGGACTGTAGGGTCCCAGGTTCGATTCCAGGTCAGGGGCACGGGCCTCGGTTGCAGGCTCGATCCCCAGTAGGGGGCGTGCAGGAGGCATCGGATCCATGATTCTCTCTCATCATTGATTGATGTTTCTCTCTCTCCCTCTCCCTTCCTCTCTGAAATCAATAAAAATATATTTAAAAAGAAAGAAAGCCCTAGCCGGTGTGGCTCAGTGGATAGAGCATCGGCCTGGGGACTGAAGGGTCCCAGTCCCAGGTTCGATTCCGGCCAAGGGCACATGCCTGGGTTGCGGGCTCGATCCCCGGTGTGGGGCATGCAGGAGGCAGCCGATCCATGATTCTCTCTCATCATTGATGTTCCTATCTCTCCCTCTCCCTCTCTGAAATCAATTTTAAAAATAAAGAAGAGCCCTAACCAGTTTGGCTCAGTGGATGGAGCGTCGGCCTGCGGACTGAAGGGTCCCGGGTTCGATTCCGGTCAGGGGCATGGACCTTGGTTGCGGGCACATCTCCAGTGGGGGGTGTGCAGGAGGCAGCTGATCGATGTTTCTCTCTCTTGGATGTTTCTAACTCTCTCTCCTCTCCCTTCCTCTCTGTAAAAAATCAATAAAATATATTTAAAAAAAGAAAGAAAGAAAGAAGAAAAAGGTGTTTCAAACGAAAGGAAGAGTACTTGGGACCCAGGGATGCTCTAACTGGACACAGACGTGAGGTTGCCGCGTCCGCCGCGGTCCCGTGTTCGCTGCCCCGCGCCCCCGGGGAAGCGGGGTGAGGCCTGAAAGAGTGGCCCTCTGTCCGTCTGAGTGGGCATTGTGCAGGATGTGAGTTTTAGCTTCTTGACTTCTAGGAAATCGCAGACAGAGAGGCCTTTGTTTGCGAAGGGCTGCAGACTCCATCCCTCATAAAGAGCTTATCATCGGAGCAAGCCCATAACGCGCCGTGTTATTCCTGTAAGAAATGCGCAATGGTCCCAGGGCAGCGAGCCTGCTCCCGGGCAACAAAGGCCCTTTCAGCGTCCGCGCGGCCAGGCCAGGCCAGCGCCCCCCATCCGTCACGTCGCCACGGCTGACCCCGCGTGGTTCGTTTCTGTTCTCGCTCAGTGAACACTCTCAGGGAGAGAGGGGTTTGTATCAGGTTATTTTCTCTGATGCCTGACATTTATTGCAACGATTTCTCTTTTTTTAAAAAAAAAAATATGACCTAGCATCAGCCTGCGGACTCAGGGTCCCGGGTTCGATTCTGGTCAAGGGCATGTACCTTGGTTGCGGGCACATCCCCAGTAGGGGGTGTGCAGGAGGCGGCTGATCGATGTTTCTAACTCTCTATCCCTCTCCCTTCCTCTCTGTAAAAAATCAATAAAATATATTTAAAAATATATATATATATGTTTCTGTTGATTTCAGAGAGAAAGAGAGAGAGAAACATCAGTGAGGAGAGAGAATCATGGATCGGCTGCCTCATGCACGCCCCACACTGGGGATCGAGCCCGCAGCCCAGGCGTGTGCCCTGACCGGGAATCGAACCGTGGCCTCCTGGTTCATACGTCGATGTTCCACCCCTGAGCCACGCCGGCCGGGCTTAGTGCCTTATTTATAGCTGAGTCCAGGCTGATGTGCTTGTCTTTGGTCCCGTGTTTCTGACCGTTTGTACTTGGGGCCGGTGGCGTTTGATTTTTCGAGTCTTGTTACTATGAAGCCTGGGCAGGCCGCTGCTTGGCTCTCGTGAGGAAACTTGCCGAATCGATCTGCTTGGAGGCCGGGGTTGGTCCCCTCTCCCCACCCCCCACCCCCCGCCCCATTCATTTTATGGCTGTTCAGGTGCCTTAAACGTCTGCACTATTAGTGCAGGTCCGAACAGCT